AACCAAAAAAAGAGCTCGGGAGCCCATTTTCACTGGCAGAGCACTTGGGCCACCACAGGCACACCCATCATGAGTGATGTTGAGCTGGCCAACGCCCACCCCAGCCGCACTCACCCTGGCTTCCCAAGGTCAAACACAACGCTGATGAAATCGAGCTTGACACCCCTGATCTAAAGCAAAGATTCTGGGCTTGTTGCTATATGATGCATAGCTTTCGTTTATAAAAATGACCCTAATTTAAGAAACTGTTCAGTTTCTGACAGCCATACTTTGTTTTGTTTTGTTTTTTTAATTTTTATTTTCCATTTTTCCAATTTACATAACAATGAGCATTTTTTAACAGTACTGTGTTGTGTGTCTCTTACAGTTATCTACATTTATTTCTATACATTTTTGTTTCTCTGTTCTAACCACTTATAGCACTTATCCCAAACCTCGTAAAATTCTGTTTCTTCCTTGCCTTTTATTTCTAACATGAGTTTATACATCTCGGCACATTCTAATATTTTATGAATAATCCTCTCGTTGGCTGGTATATTTTCAAGTTTCCAACATTGGGCATAAACAATTTGTGCTGCTTTTACTATATGTAAAATGATATGTTGGATTGCTTCTTTATCATTTGATTAATTATTCCTAATAAAAATAATTCAGGTTTAAATTCAATTTGTTCTCCTGTTATCTCCTGTAACCATCTCCTTATCTGTTTCCAATATTTCTTTGCTTTGGGACATTGCCACCACATGTGATAAAATGTTCCATCCTTATATTTACATTTCCAGCAGTCTGGTTTTATATTTGTGTACATTCTCACCAGTGTTAAATGCCACCTATAAAAAATTTTGTACTGATTTTCTTTATATGCGGTCGACAATATTAATTTACAGTTTTTGTTCCATAATTTTTCTCATTCCTCTAAATTTATATTACGGCCTATATTTTGTGCCCATGCTATCATTGGACCCGTCACTATTTCTTCTTCCATTTCTACCTCTAATAGATATTTATAGGCTTTTGTTATAATTTTTTCTTCATTGCCTGTCAATATTCTATCCAATTGTTGTGATACCCCTTGAATTCCATATTCTTCCATATTTTTTCTATATCTTGACTGTGTCTGTAGATATGGCCAACAGTCTCTAATTATACCGTTCTTTTAATTCTTCATTTGATTTAAGCTTCCCCTGGCTATCTAATAGTTCTTTATATTTTATCATCTTTTTTTTATCTAATGTGTTTGGATAAATTGTTGCCTCCATTGGTGAAACCCAGTTTGGCAATTTCATATAATGTTTTCTTTTAACCTTTCCTCATGTCCATATCAATGCTTCTCTTATTTGATGTTGGTAAAAATATGAGTGTGCCTTGTTACATTTATCCCATAGGAAGGCATGCCAACCTGCCCGTAGGTCATGTCCTTCAATCATTAAAACTCTTTTATTGTCTAAATTTATCCAATCTCTGATCCATAATAGCCTCGCAGCTTGATAATAAAGTTCCCATTTTGGGAGTCCAAAGCCACCTCTGCTTCTACTATCTTGTAACATTTTCATATTTATCCATGTTTTCCTACCCAGCCAAATAATTTTTTTAATTGTTTTATTTCCTCAAAGAATCTCCTTTCCAATTTTATAGGGACTGTCTGGAATAGATATAATAATTTTGGCAATATATTCATTTTAGCACTTCTAATGTCAAGATAAAAAGCAGAGGTGACATTGGACATCCCTGTCTTATTCCTTTGTTTATTTCAAATTTCTCTGTATTATCCCCATTAATGATCACTCTAGCTTTTTGTGTTGTGTATATCGCCTTTATTGTTTTCTTGAACTTTCCTCCAAATCTCATATCTTTGATCTGTTGGAACAAAAACTGCCAATTAAAATTATTGAATGCTTTCTGGGCGTCTAAAAATATTAGTGCAATCTGTTTTTCAGGATGTGCTTCATAGTACTCTAAGACATTTAACACTGTTCTTGAGACTTCCGGTTGGCACCACCGGCGTCGCGGATGGTCTTTTTGGACTGCCAGCCCCGCGATTCCGCGCTAATCAGCTGTCAGACGGCCTAAAAACCCCTCCTTTGGGAGAAGAAGGAGAGGAGAGCCGGTGGGCGAGGGTAGAGCTCCCCGGAAGCCCCTGGAGTAATTCCAGGGGCTTGGAGGGTGAGAGCTCCCCGCTCAGCCCACTGAAGCTCCAGATCCATGGCGACTCCGTTTAAACGGAGCCAGACGCCAGCGACTGACTCTGCTGTCAAAAAGAAGATTAACTGATTTCAAAAGCAGACAGAACGGAAGCAGGAGAACAAGCTTTTGCAAGTATATGCTTAATTCCTGGGATACATTGTTTCTACTTGATTTTGCTGAGCTGGAGGTGGAAATGGCGTCTTTGTTGTGGGTGTAAAAGTGAAAGTTGAAAATGAAAGTGCTTGTTAACAGATTTGTGCTCAGAGACTGGATTTAAACTGCTGGGATTTGAGAGCTGGGTGTAGAAAAGACTATCTTGCTTGATAAATTACAAATAAAACTGAGAAAGCTGTTCAAGAGATTTTATGGCTGTGAAAAGAAAAATTATTTTAAAATAATATGGCTTCCAAGCAAGGAGTTCTTGAAAGTGGTGGAGGCTCTCTAATGGTGTCAGAAATGACACAGAGAACTGAGTCACAGAACCAGGAGGATTTTTTTAGAGACCTTACAGAATTTATAAAGGAAGCCATGAATAACCAAATTGTAATTATTAATAACCTAACAGCAATCATAGAACAAAACTTTATAGAACCGGTGGAGGATATAAAAGCAATTGAGGATGTTTTTGAAGGAAAGCACAATGACAATGTAGGAGACATTTTGACCAAAACAGAGAAGCTGGAACTGGCTGGCTCTCAAGAATCTTCAAACTTTCTTCCTGCCCTTTTGGAATTAACTGACAGAACTTTTCAAAAATATAATTTGGAGCAGAAAGAAGAAGAAACTGACCAGCCCTACGAGGTTTCGGAGGATAAAGAAGATTTGGCAGAGGCTTTCACACAATTAATTGAAATGCAACAACTGGACTTTTCTTTGCAAACTGATCGAGTTAATTCTTCGTTCTATGAACTGACTGATTATATAAGCAAGAAGAGTCAATATGGGGGCTCTAAATCAGAGGAAATGGTTCCAAGAAAGGGACAAGTTTTAAAGATACATCAACCCCCAGTTAAAATTCAAAACCTTCTCAAAATAAAAGTAGGAGGGAGGAAGAAAGTCTGGAAAAAATACAGAAAGAAAGGAAGAATGGAAGATTAACTTTCTCTGGTCTAACTATTGATGTATTAATGATTAATTATAATGATTAAGTAAATGAATTAAGAGTTCAATTAATGATTAATTAACAAAAGTAGGAGGAAGAGTAAAATGATTAAGTAAATGAACTAAGAATAACTTACAGATGTATTATGAGATTTTTAGGCTTTGAATGATCTATTATTGTTTGTTAATGGTTTTTAAAACTCTTAGGGCTAAAGGATTATATGTTATTTTGAGTTTAAAGGGAGGTTGATGAATAATCTGTAGAAGGGGAGTTAAGGGGTCTAGGGAGTTTTAAGTCTTGCATTAACTTAGCATATTTTAGCGTATGTTTGGTAAAATTTATACCCTGTTTTTCTTCTGGGAAGTCGGGGGAGGGGGGTGGGAAGGGGGGGGTTGAAGGTTGGGTTTACAAATGTTTAAATAGATAAGTGAAAATGTTATTTGTTTGAATTTAATAAAAATAATAAAAGACATTTAACACCGTTCTTATATTGTTCCTAATTTGCCTTGTAGGTAGAAAACCATTTTGGTCCAAATGTATTATTTTATTTAATATTAATTTCAACCTTTCAGCAATTATATTAGTAAAAGCCATGCTTTGTATCCTTCACTCAATTACAATACAATTACAAAAATTCTTTTGTAATTGTAATTTGGTTAGTTTGGCTACGTTTCTTTTGGGGCTAACCTGATTTTACCATTGAGATTTTTTTTGGCAGAAATGAATCTTTTAGGAAGAATGTCTGGTTCACCTCACTCTATTGATATATTTTCCTCATCTCCAAGGAGGCAGATTCATTCTGGTCTGACATATTGTGACTTCTCTCTCCTGGCAATTTTATTTATCATTTTATTAGTTTATTTATCAAATTTATATACCACCCATCTCACCCAAGTGACTCTGAATTGGTGGTTTATATATTGTACACACTGTACCAAACATACTACCGTATGTAGTCTCAATAGCCATGGCTTGAGGAAACTAGTTGAAACTCTTTTCTCATTATTGTTTTAGATTTGATTTTTCTGTATTTTAGATTTTGCAGTTATGTTTTATTGATTTCTATTATAGTGAGGGTTTGTATGTATTTTGCCATTAAGCTATTTATTTATTATACTGTATTTATATACCATTCATCTCACAGAATTGTGCAGCTAATACAATATCAAGATCCATTTTATTGGCCAACCACTTTTATCAGGGTATATATAAGAAGACAGCATCGAGGTGGCCTTGGCTGATTTTGTAACAGAAAAAAACGAAGTAAGCTTAGACATAATTAATATTGATGAAAAATCATCAGGAAATCTCAGCAATAGATAGGCTAGTTTGGGAAGTAAAAGAAATCTCTATAAAAAGGTGCTTCTATTCAACCAAATTCTACTGCATTTGGATTTTAATATTTATTACTTTTAATTTAGTGAAATCTTTTCAAGTTCTTTACCGTTCCATATGTAATTCTAGTTACATATACATTACATTTTCTAGCAAAGTGAACAGTATTTTGATTGGTTGAACAATATACATATTTTGAATGATTACATCTAGAATTGCATAAGTTATTTAGGGTCTGAAGATTAATCACAGCCATGACCAGAATATGGACCTTTCTAGTAGAAGATCTAAAACAGAAAAAAAAAAAATCAACAATGGAGCATTCCAGAGTTGTCACATGACTTGCTTTGGCCAATAGAGAAACAGAATGTTTACTCTTGGTTAAGGTGAGTTTATGGGTTTAGTATGATGGGAGGCTAACACATTCTTTCTCCATCTCATTACAGATAAAACAAATTATGAACTGAATTGCTACTATCTGACCCATTTCCCCCTTTTCTGGCTAGCCACTGAAAAGCTTTATTTGACATTCATTTTCTATTGTTGTTGTTTGTTCCAGTTAATCGATGATTACAGGTGATGACCCTCTCAGCCATGAGTTCCTGTAAGCTGTTAGTTGTTGCTCTTTTTGCTGCCTTCCTTATCTCTTTAGGTAAGATGTGTAAGAGTTGCTGCTCTACAGGATACCTTTCAAGGGTTGTCTCCCTTGAAAAAAAAAGACAAGTTGCCCAATATATATCACATAAGGGAAAGAGATGCCTATATTGTCATGTCAAGGTCCGTATCTCCAGTGTAATAGTTTTGGAGCCTTTAAATCCATGTTGACTTCTGGTGACAACCTGGACAAATCTTTGCACTTGACAAATTTTCAGAAATGGCCTGCCACTGTCCCTTTCCAAGGGCTGAGAGAGTAACTGGCTCAAAATTACCCAGCTAGCTTTGTGCCTAAGATGGGACTAGAATTCATTAAGAACAAAAGGATTGCTGGAACAGACCACAACAGCATTCTGTTTTCCTCAAAGATCTTTCATTCAGTTACTAGAATTGAAGTGGACTATCTTGAATTCTAGATATGGTACATAGCAATCATAACAAGTAGCAGTAGATGGCCTTATTTTCTTGAAGTTTTTTTCTAATCCCAGTGTAAAATCCTCATGTCAGTGATTATCAATACATTCTAGATTTGGGACAAAACATTCCATTTCACAGAACCAGAATCTGGTTGAGAGCTTTTCTGCAATTGCTCATCTCCCATGCATAAACCAGCTGGAAATAAAGCTGATTTAATAAATCTCATTATGGATTTCAGCCCCTTCTTTTGGTCATTGTGATGGCTTGATGTTTTTTTCTGGACTGTGTCTGCCATGATTTCTGATTGTTAGCTTACTCTGCCTTAGCCCTCCTGGATAGGCTGGATAGGAAGGAAGGAAGGAAGGAAGGAAGGAAGGAAGGAAGGAAGGAAGGAAGGAAGGAAACCAGTTTTACCATTTGTCCTATTACTTGGGCTAGAAGGGGAAAATGGCAGAATTCTCATCAATTTTATTTCACTCGGTTAAAGCAAGTAAACCAAACAACAGCAGGTTGTTCCATCACTGAACTTGTTCATCAATAAATTCTCAATGAACTCGTAGAAAACAAAACAAACCTTTTATGTTTTCACTGTTCCCCTGGTGAAAAGTGATGGTGGATAAAAGGAAGAAAAGAATTGTTCCTGCCACAGGATAAAGTAGGTAAATGGAATAGAGAATGTTTTTTTTAAAAAAATTTTTTTTAATATTATTTATTAAAATTTTCTCTGCCCATCTCTCCTTTAAGATAACTATGATTTGATTTTTCTTACAAGGAATTGAAGTGCAGCACATAAAGCAGAGAGTAAGGGTTGATTCAGTTCAGTGTGAAAAACATCATTTCTAACTCGGAGCCAGAAAACACAGGTAGAGAAGGTGTGAGTGTTGCCTGGAAGTGAGTTAAGGAATGATTTTATGCATCTGCACTCCAGAAATGTTGACTGGCTCAGGTGTACACTGGGGCAAGCTGGATTGCCGATTTGCTTTCAGATCATCAACCATCTATTCCAGAGGTCTTCATATTTGGCAGCTTTAAGATTTGTGGACTTCAACTCCCAGAATTCTCCAGCCAGCTGGCTGGAGAATTCTGGGAGTTGAAGTCCACAAGTCTTAAAGCTGCCAAGTTTGAAGACCACTGATCTAGCCCATCGCTATCTTCTTTAATTCCCCAGTTGCAACAATTGTCAGACCTCTGGCAAGTTTTTTTTTTTAGTTTGCAATCTTTTACTTGAAGATATCTAGGGTGGAATTGAAAATCTATTGCACACACAGGTGTTCGGGCCACTAAGCTACAAATGATTTTCATCCTATTTTCTTATTCATTTTGCATTGGTAACAAGTGGTTCTGATTACAATTTTTCTTTTGTTAAGGAACCGGTCTGAATTTATCTGCCAGAGTCTGTTGGCAAAAAGGAGGAAGATGCCACCGGGCTGGTCAATGTTACTACAATGAAATTGAGATTGGAACGTGTTACCATTTCCGGTTGAAATGTTGCCGAGATAAAAGCCAAGAAGAAACACCAACATAAATGTTGCAAAATTATGAACTAGAATATCTGAAGCAATGCAATATTTCAGTTTTCATTTAATGCTTCTTCATGCTCAGCAGTTCAGTGACGAAACAGGACAGTTATATGGACGGTGTACTAATCATTTATTCCAATACTGCTAGAAAATTATCCCTGCTCCACACTTTAAAAAATTGTATAGTTTTTCCAAACTGTGGATTTATTATTGAACCCTGGCATAAGTATGGAGCATGTTGAAACACGAAGGTTGCTTTAGCAATTAAACCATGTAATTTAGCCTAGTCTTTTTAATATGTAAAGTTTTTTTAAACAGGTAGTCCTTGACTTATGACCATAATTGAACCTGGCAATTACTGTCATAAATCATGACAGATACAAAGCAGGTTATCATGTGACCAATCAGATTTTATGACCTTTTTTTTTAATGCAGTGATTATTCAACAAACAAGGTGGCCATTAAGTGAAAGTGATGGTCTTTAAGCTACCCATTAATTTTTATGGGGTGCTTTTTGTTGGAAACTGGAAATAAATATCTGTGAGGAGTCCTTGGTGCGCTCTGAGCTTGCTTATTTTCTTGCAAATGTTTCATTACCCTAACTAGGTAACATCATCAGTGCTAGAAAGGAATACTGTTTGCTGTCAGTTTATGAACAAAAGAAAAATTGTTTATAAATGACAGCAAACAGCACTCCTTTACTAGCACTGATGATATTACCTAGTTAGGGTAATTTGCAAGAAAACAAGCAAACTCAGAGAGCAACAAGGACCCTTAATTTCAATTCAGAATTACAAATATTCTCCTTTATTGATAAATATCTGTTTCTGGCAAAACCTTTGTAAATTGTGATCAATTTACCTCAGTAAATTGGGGTGCTGCAAATGACCATAAATATGGGCCAGTTGCTGAGCACCCAAAATACAATAATGTGACCAGGGGGAGGGGAATGTTGGAACTTTAAAACCGGGTCATAAGTAGCTTCGAATGATTGCTAAGCAACTGGTTCCAAGTTGAGAACTATTTGTACTGAATTGGACCGTTGCTCTAGTTAGCTCTGTGCTGCCCAGTCAAATGCTAAAGACTTCTCACAAGCTTGTAACAAAAACCCTTCCAAATGATAAAGATTGCTGTTTGAACATAGGATCTCTTGCATCCAAAGCATGTGCTCTGTCATTGGACTATAACACTACTGAGGTTGTTTTTTTAATGCAGCTGAAGCATTGCCACAAAGAAGAATGGAAAATATCTGTTTGCTGCTGATGTACTAGAAGGCAGGATCTGCTGATTATGATCTAGAAGGCAGCCTAATGACACCGAGTTACAAAAGGACAGATTTTCTTAATGTTGAGTGAACATTAAGGAGAAAATATTGAGTTGATTCTCATAAGGCAGGGGTCTCCATACTTGGGAACTTTAAGGTTGTAGACTTCAGTTCCTACGAATGGAGGAGTCACATTTGGTGACCCCTGTCATAAGGGATGATTATTTTATTTTGCAAAGCAAGACTAGAGAATAGAGGTCTTGGCTAACAATTTTCTCTTGTCTACATGTATGTAGACTACATACATAGTCTACAAAGCCAGTTCAATTCCATGACCACAGACAAGTAACACCTAATATACACAACAAAAAGTCCCTTGTGAGAATGAACTGGGGCTATTAGTTCAGAATTTGATGTATATGTTAGATTTACTTTGACATCTTAATTTCAATTTGCATATATTTATTAAATATTTGTAACCTGTAACAAAAACAAAGAACTAATAAGGCAAGAGCGAAGAAAGCAAGTGAATAACTGGGCTCTATGATACCTTTCTTTTAAAGCTTGTTTTTCCAAGCTTGCCACGTTCACTACAGAACCACCAGCTTTCCACCTACATAATCTACTTATTCTTTGTTTTCTTTTTTCTTTTCATTCTATATCATTTCTCATGGTAAAGACACAGATACACACAGATATACAAACCTTTAAATGATATTTTTTGCCATAGAAGATAGATATAAAACTGGATTTGGTTGGATTGAGGATATGAAACCAGAGTCTATGTGAGGTTTCCCCATCTTGACCTGTATGATCTGTTGGTGAACAAAGAGAACATGTAGAGTATTGGCATCCTCAAACTTCTTTTATTTTGCTTTGGGAGGATACGTGTATTATCTTAGCTGTATTTACAACTAGTCTTTTCAATTTGATATGTACAAGTACCTAGAAGTTGCTAACTTATTCCTGATATCTTCAGGCACCACTAGGGAAAAAAAACCCACCCCTTTTCCAATGTTTTCAGAGCAGCTCTGAAATATTGACCAATGGGACCAAAATTGCTATCACTCATCAACTGGAGCAATGCAATGTCAAGGCAATTCAGCAACCATTAAAAATGGGATAGGATCATCATCTGACATAATGTTTTGAAAATGCCAGCAGCAAATAATGTTTAGGTTTTGAAGAAAGTAGAAAGACAACCAGTTTGGTACATTGATTAAGACAGCCCGCGGAAGCAGGTTCTGGCAAATTAGATTGGAAATCTTGTCAAGTATGCAGCAGGGAGTTATCCAGGCAATTGCCAAGTATTAAGACTGACTCAAAGGCAATAAAGGAAAGAAAAGGAAAGGAAAAAAGAAAGGAAAGGAAAGGGGAAAGAGGAAAGGGGGAAGAGGAAAGAAAAGAAAAGAAAAGAAAAGAAAAGGGAAAAAGAAAGGAAAGGAAATGGTTGTTAATTGAGATGACAGAAAAGTGAAATTTCTGTGAAATTTCACCCTTCAATTGCTGATCCCTCTCCTTCTCTTATAATTTATAAGACTGAAGAATGGTGTTGTCCTTTTTAACATGGTGCTAAATAAGGGGAAAAATGTACATTTGCTTGACTTTGTCTCCCCATCCATTACACCTTGCTTGCCAACAATAGCAATAGCAACAACAACAAAAAATAATCATTCACTCTCTCAGATGTATGGAGTGCAACTTTAAGACTTAAAAAAAAAAAAGAAGACAGATTATATCTTCAGTGGGATTAATATGTCTCCACCCCATAAATTTAACACACTAATATTTACTTGAGGACCCACCTATAAAAAATCAAATATACCCTGGGACTATAAGGAAAGAGCTTGGAAAATTTCCAGGAAATACAAAGATATTATTCTCCATAGTTTCCCATGGCCTTTCTACAATTTGTTCTCTTCTCAAAATATAGGTGATTGCATAAATGAGTTTGCATATTTAACAATCAAAAGACAGCTAAGTATTACATAGGTTTCCATATTTGTTATTACTTCAAACACACTTATCAAATCGGCAAACACTGCACAAATTTTAATGCTAATATTAGCTCCATCCCTATATAATTATAATCACACATGTCAACTGAATGGATTGTTTGGCATTTCATTACAGCAAACTTTGTGGCTACTTAATCCTCCTTAGCAAACTTGCAAGTGACATTTGAAGATTCATCAATATGCATGTGATGAAAACCATAGACTTGCACGTGTTACAAGAAATCTCCCATGAAAAAAATGGGGTGCAACAGGTTTTGATAAAAAGGATAAAAAGGAGTGGCATTTTAAGAGGGGAGTAAGAGGAAGTAAAACGTTTGCAATGTTTGCCATATCAATGATGCCGTATCAATGATCAATGATCTACCCTCCATTTCCACATTACCATGACCTCATAACTTGTTATAAATAGACAGATCTCTGCTGGGCTTTTTGTGGAGTCCTCCTAACTCTTCTTCAGTTCTGCTTTTTTGAAGTAGCTGGAGAGATTTCAGAGGCAACTTCAATCATGAGGTTTCTTTTCCTCGCCTTTGCTTTGCTGCTTCTCTTCTATGTATCTTCAGGTAAGAAGGGGCTGAGTAAACTGGGGGGGGGGGGAAATAGAAGCAGAATGGGAAAAAGAGAAAGCATGAAAGAAATAAGGTTTTTTAAAAAATTATTCCCACTTTTGAGGGTAATTCATGACTTGAATCTCATACGTCGTTCTCCATCAATCTTTCTGCTAATGGACCCTCTTAGCTACTAGGCTCAGAATTTTATTGATTGTTAGATGATGAAAGAATTAATACAACGGTGTTGATTATGTGAAAATGCACTTGTGCAACCCATTAGACCATACTAAAATGAATCAGTCTATACTACTGGTAAATGCCTGGACAGATCCCTGTAGTTTTTTGGGGCAGGATTTGGAAGTGGTCTGCCATTACCTCCTTCCTATGGTTGAGAGGGAATAAGTGACACAGGATAAGCCAATTGGTTTGTGCCAAAGGCAGATCTAGAGTTTATGATCTCTAGGTTTCTAACCTGGCATTTTAACAACCATGCCAAAGTGGCTCTCATTGACCTATCTATTGACCTTGTTTCTTTAGTTGCAGGAAGGTATGCTTATTTTTTTTTAAGAGGGTTGTTGGGGGATGGTAAGAAGGAAGTGTTCCCAGGAAAAGTCAAAATGGTAAGAATAATTAAGTGACCAAAAGCCTGTCCTCCTTTTTATGGGAGTTGTCCATGCCGTCAATTCCCCATCACCAGAATAGAATAGAATAGAATAGAATAGAATAGAATAGAATAGAATAGAATCCTTTCTTTGGCCAAACGTGACCCAAGAATTTGTCTCCTGTACAGAAGCTTTCAGTGTATATGCAAAATAACAGAGTAATAATAATCATAATAGCGATACCAATAAGCAAAGGTAGTAGAAAAGTTGGGAAGGATAACACTAATATAGCCATACTATATGGGTAAATATACTTAGACATATGACAACACCGTGAGAATTAGGTGTTCAGCAGAGTGATGGCAAGAGGGGAAAAAAAAAAAAAACTCTCTGAGTCCAGTTGTTCATCCCGAGGGGAGGAATTGAAACAGTTTGTGTCCAGGATGTGAGGGGTCTATATCACAAAGATGTTTTTTTCCCTGGGCTTAGAGAGAAGTGTGTTGTATAAAACAAGTTACAGTACATGTTGCTCTAGGGCAGCTGATTTCCTTGTTGCAGGTTCATTGCAATGTCTGTGTCTAAAAAGAGTTGCCTGGTTCTTTCCAGGAACATTGATACATCTCCCTTTCCCCTTTATCAGTATTCTTAAGTCCTCAGCATTAGGGCTGGGCAGTTTCTGCTTGGGTTCCCTTCATTTTCAGCATCTTAAAATTTGCTACTTATTCATTAGTTTTTCCTACTGCTGCAATTGCTATAGGCTTCATTTCCATTGCTCAACAGCCAATCTTACACATTCCCAATAGGAAATATGAGATTATCCCTAAATTCCTCAAGATTTTTTTTTGCAGAAAACTCAAGCTCAGCTGATTTTCTTGTTGTATGTTGACAGTAGTGTCTTTTGCAAGAGCTAAATAGCTATGAAATATGCTGTCTAAATGAAGTCAATAAAATAAACTTTCTTCTCACCTTTCATTGATTTATTGAAGGCAAAATATATCATTGTGTTTTGATGACAACTGCTCACTCGAATAATTTTTCATAAATACAGGGCAATTACGAAACTGTTATTCGGATGGTGGTTTCTGCCAGACTGGTCTTCAAAAAGAATGCGAGTATGGAAGTCTCCCATACAACTGTGGCATTAATGCCCTCTGCTGCAAGCGTGGACCGGTGAGATCCATTTCTTTCTTAGTTATGAGATAAAAAATATATGGGCATAGCATCTCTCTACTGCGAAACTCTACATAAACATTAGATGTTTGCAAGAGAGTAAGAGTTTTCTCAATTTTCTACCACTTATTCCTCATCTAGATCTCTACATCTTGGATCTGGTAAACTCAACTGAGAAGCCTCATCTGCAGTATAAGAAAAAGAAATCTGACTTGTTTTTTTAAACGTGTCTATTTTCTTATTTAATATGTCCTTATCTGAGCCATGACAACTTTTTCAGATGATCCAAATATGATGGCAAATGAAATGAGACAGATAGCAGTAGAATAAAGGCTTTTTGTTCATTAATCTTTTTCCTATTTTGGAATACCTGTTTTGGAAAGACTTAGTATTAAAGCCCACATTGGAAGTGAGGATTATAGCTATTCCACATTTATCAAGCCAGTTTTGCTATTTCAGCACAGGAAAACACCTGCATAAATCTATTGTTATGCTTGTATATACTTCACGTGAGCTGATCCCATAAAATCATTCCCCATTCCCTTAATTTTTATTTATTTATTCTTACAATTGCATTGTATTAGCTATCAGGAAACACTGATGCCACAGCTTTAAGATATACACTTACTGATGATCCTCAAGAATCAGACTGTATCAATAGGTGGTATACCACATAAAAAAAGAATTAAGAATTGAGTAATTTTCTCTATATTTATCAAGTAGTAAACTGAGTAGCTATGAATTTCCTCTGAGCAAGTCATCAAGATCATACTCTATAGCTGCCTTCCTTGCTCCCAATGTTGGGAATCAGATCAGATTGAGAATTCAAGCATGAATAAATAACAAATCTATTTGGGACGATCAAGAATATTCTGTCATATTGTATTGCAGTCTGGTTTGGAAGCATTACTGCTTCAGACAGGAAGGCAGTGCAGAGTAGTGAGGATGGCAGAAAAGATTATTGGCAGTTCACCCCCTTCTATCCAAGACATAGCATATAAGCGTTGCTTGAGCAGAGTCCGCAGGATTGTCTGGGATGCTACACATTCACGACTGGTTTTCCTTGTTACCTTCTGGGAGGAGGCTTCGTGGTATCCGAAGCAGAACATCCAGATTCAGCCACAGGTTTTTTCCATACAGTATCAACACTGTGAAATCTCAGGCTTCCTTTTTCCACTATGCATTCAAGATGGACAGTGATTAATATGTATACATATTCATATGTTATGGTGTAGGTATATACATATGTATGTATATAGCATATCTATATGTGTATTATGTATTTGTACACTTTTGAGAACAGGCAACAGAATTTCATTTTTAATATGTGCCAGAGTGCCCACAGAAGAAAATGACAATAAAAGTTATCTTAAATCTGCAAACATCTAGGAGGAAATAAAACTACAATCAGAAACCAACAGGGGTTCATTAAAAACAGATCCTACCAAACAAATCTTATTTCATTCTGTGGCAAAGTGACTAAATTAGTGTATCAGTGAATTTTTTTCAGCTCACATTTCACCTTCATTCAGCTGAAAGTGCTTCTGATCTGTGAAAACAAATTGGAGGTAAATGAGGATTAGTTTAAAATATGCTGGGAATGACTTGTTAATTGAAGAGTAATGGCATAGCTGGGGTCCACCCTGTAAACGTGGAGGAACGTGGTGATGGGAGCGACATGGAGTTCCCATGTGACACCTCTCCTGCGCGAGCTGCACTGGCTCCCGGTGGTCTTCCGAGTGCGCTTCAAGGTTCTGGTTATCACCTTTAAAGCGCTCCATGGCTCAGGACCTGGTTATTTACGGGACCGCCTGCTACCACCAATAGCCTCCCACCGGCCAGTACGCTCCCATAGAGAGGGGCTCCTCCGGGTGCCGTCGGCCAAACAATGTCGGCTGTCGGCCCCTAGGGGGAGAGCCTTCTCTGTGGGGGCACCTACGATTTGGAACGAGCTCCCCCCGGAGATACGTAGGATCCCGGATCTGCGCACCTTCCGCCGCGCACTTAAGACTTTTCTATTTTATCAAGCTGGCCTGGCCTAAATCTTCCCCCTTTTTAAATGTGGAAATTTTAAATTTTTAAATTTTAAATTCGTCTTTTTATAGGGGTATGGGTAAGGCATTTTAAATTGGGGAGCCATTTTAGATTTAATTCTGTTTTAAACGTATTTTAATTGTTTATATTGTATGTTTTTAACTTTGGCTGTGCACCGCCCCGAGTCCTTCGGGAGAGGGGGCGGTATAAAAATCTAATAAATAAATAAATAAATAAATAAATAAGAATTAACTAATTAGATTCACGATCAAATCTTAAATTGTGCTCCTCCCCACACTTGTCTATACATTTATCCATTGTTTTGGACAAGACAAAGTCACATCCGTAATAAAATCTTCTGTTTCTTTTCTGCAGTGAAACCACCAATGAAAAGCACCAGTGAAACCCTGGGAGGTTATTGCCATCTTCCCTAACAAGAATCTTGCCTCTCTAGTGTGAAATATTCGGCAATTGTGATATTAATGAAAGATGTTGCAAACTGTTACATAACAGCAAGCAGTGAAACAACATTGTGATTAAACAATTTAATGAATTTGGACCACATTTTTGAATTTTGTATTGCCTTTTGAAAGTGTCTGCTGCAAATGGTGATCTGAATCTGATTACTGGGTTTGGAATTCTGAGAGACCTTTTGGCCACATTGCTATTCTTATGAAATGATGAACAATTGCACTCATAAACTTTCATATGTTTACCGGGGGGGGGGGGGGGTTGGGGTTCATGAGAATGCCTTCATCTCATCTCTAACACATGCATGAAGAAGTTTACACTTTTCCTTAGCTAGTCTGATGGTTTCACCATTGAATAGGCAACAAGACCTAGTATTGCTGTGGGTGTAATTTTGGCCAGCTTCACAGATGTCATGGTCAGTTGATTGAGAGGTGTGGGATAAACCCAAATTGGGATGGATCCTTCCCTCTTTTCATCTCTAGTCTTTGGACATGACTTTCAATAACTGCAATGTAAAAAAGAAATAGGTTTTAGATCATAGGTGTCATCTTGATCCCCCCCCAACTCAGGAATGCCATTTGGATGGCAGCAGATTTTATGCTGATAGATTTCTGTTGGCCAATGTTTGGTAGGTTACACTTTAGCTTGATTGTAAATTAGGGCCTTAAGTTACATTCCAGTTGTGCCACCACAGGTTAAATTGTTCCTATGAATGCATACAGTGTATACAGTATCTGGAGTTTCTAATGCAAAAGCCATCCTGAGTTCAAGAAGCTGATTTCCATAAGCTCTCCCAATCAGAAGCTGTCCAGCTCTTTTTCTACTTCATTTGAAACAAGCCGGGTTTGAAATGGGGGATCCAAAAAGTTCATTTTCACCTTCGTGTCCTTTATATGGCCACATGAGAAGAGCCTCATAATTTATAAAGAAACATCAGCCATGTGTATACACACATTGTGTGATATAGGTGCCAGAATTTAATCACTGATAAACTAATGAACTCAGAGCCTTGAGAGACAGCTTGCTCAGAAGCTATTAGTCCTTTCCCCCCACTTCCTCCACAACACATTAAGAAGTCTCCTTAAGGTACAATACATGTGAAAGGAACTGTGAGAATTTCCACAAACTCATTCTCTGCTGAATTCGCCTTTCTAACAACCAAGGTCCTGTCCAGCTGTAGAGGTTTTCATAGTCATCTCAGCATGGCTGCTTGGGACCTTCCTTTTGGGCCCATTAGATCCAGCTTCTTTCTTGATTTGAGTCTTCTTGATTTTTCAAACCTTGATCCTTTTCCCAGTGTTTCACTAGTCAATTTCATGATGATGAAGCTGTAACATTTCCTTTTCTCTGTGGGCCAACTACTGCCCTCCAATATTCCTGACACTTTTGCACCTCTGACAGTGGTGGAATTCAATTTTTTTAACTACTGGTTCTGTGGGTGTGGCTTGGTGGGCATGGTGTGGCTTGGTAGATGTGGCAGGGGAAGGATACTGCAAAATCCCCATTCCCATCCCACTCTGGGGCCAGCCAGAGATGGCATTTGCCAGTTCTCCAAACTACTCAAAATTTCTGCTATCAGTTCTCCAGAACCTGTCAGAATCTGCTGAATAGCACCCCTGACCTCTGAGCTGCTCATCTGCCTGTTAACAGCAGGAAGTATTGCAATTGTCAATTGAGCAAAACTACAAACTTCACCTAGGACAAGAAGTATCCGGTGAACACAATGGGGAGCCTTGAGTTTTGATAAGGGAGGGGAGGAGGAGTTTTAAAGGAGAGTAACAGGAAATACATGTTTGCAATGTTTACCACATCAATGATCTATACTACATTTCCACATTCTTATGACACCATAACTTGTTATAAATAGACAGATCTGGTGGGCTTTTTGTGGAGTCTTCTTAACTCTTCTTCAATTCTGTTTCTTTGAACTAGCTGGAGAGATTTCAGAGGAAACTTCAGTCATGAGGTTTCTTTTCCTAACCTTTGCATTGCTTCTTCTCTTCTATGTTTCTTCAGGTAAGAAGGGACTGAGTAAACATGGGTGAATAGAAGCAGGGTGAAGGGGAGAAAAAGAAAGCTTGATAGAAATAGGTGGGTTTTTTTTAAAAAAAATCATTCCCACTTTTTGAGGGAAATCCATGATTTGAATCACACACAGGTGGCTTTACAACATTCAGAGGTGAATTTGAAGAACAAATGGAGAGCCCTGGAATTTAGATAAGTGCTTTAATCAGACCAGCTGTCCTTCTTTATCAGTGTTGCTGCTAACGGACCTTCCCAGTTACTAGGGTCCAGGTCAGGAGTGGGTTCTACTTACCTTTACTACCAGTTCGCAACAGGAGCACACACACATATTTTTGTTATGGATTGCACTAGCAGAGGCTAAACCAATTTCGTTGTATACATGATGTACAATGACAATAAAGGCTATTATTATTATTATCATCATCCTGGCACGTGTGTAGTAGCCTCCTATCTTTCTGCTAGAAGTCATTTGTACTTAAGAGGATGAAGATGAAACTATATTGCAATCCCTCAGTATCCTTTGACAACGTATTCTTTTCTGGGCTTCACTAGTTCCCACATGCAATATTGTGGATAATGTAGTAGCATCCATGGGGCAGGCAAGAGGAGTACATGAAGAAAATCTGTAACCATGGTGTTTTGATGACAATTGCTCATTCAAATAATATTTTTTTCATAAATGCAGGACAACCTGATACCTGTGTGAAGAAAGGTGGCTTCTGCCAGATTGGCCTCCAGAAAAAATGTGTGTATGGAAGTCTCCCGTACAACTGTGGCATTAATGCCAAGTGCTGCAAGCGTTTGCCGGTGAGATCCATTTCTTTCTTAGTTGTGAGATGAGAAATATGTGGGCAGAGCATTTTTCTCCTGCAAAACTCTGCATAAGCATTAGTTGCTTCCAAGATCATAAACATTTTCTCTATTTGCTATTGATCATCTGGAGTTTTATAGCTCATATCTGGGAAGCCTAATTGAGAAGCCCTATTAACAATGTAAGAAAAAGGTGATAAATATGGAAAAAGAACACTTTGGCAGAAATGGTAACAAAGTAAAATATATTAGAATATGATAAATTGTATATGATATGATGTGATACGGTCAATGCTCTGTTTCAAAAAATATGCAGGTGTGTATTGGGGTGGGAATCAATAAAACTTGTCAAAAAAAAAAAAACACCCAATGTAAGAAAAAGGAATCTGACTTCTTTATTACTAAGCTTCGTATATGCTTAGCCGAACCATGATAAGCTTCTCAGAGGTTCCACTTTTTAATTTATATTTATTGAGGATCTTACATAAAGTAAAAGACAAATCTAAAGAAAAAGAAAAAGAAAAGAAGAAAAAAAGGAAGTGCAAGAAAAAAAATAGAAAGAAAAAAGTGCTGGTTATGAAATAGAATGATACCAATTTTCTTGTCAACAATTACTGGATGACACCATTTTGTGCTTTTTCAACACTTTTACCAACTCACATTTCACCTTCACTCAGTTGAAAGTACCAAGCTCCTGAGAGTGCTTCTGATGTGGAATTTGTGAAACCAATTGAAGGTGAATGAGACTTGGTAGAATAGGCTGGGAATGATTTGTTAACTAAAGGATAATGGCATAGCTGGGGTCCACATTATAAATGCTATGACTAAAGGTCCATTTCCTCAATTCCCAAATTTCTTACAAATGTAAGAAGACTTCACTGAGATATGTAGGTAACTATTGTTGGGTACCGGATGCTGAGCTAGTTGATTTTATTCATTTATTTTTTTGGATCAAGAGAGATTCAAACTGAACCTCAATGTGACCAGGCATAGCTTGTTACATTTTAGCAATTGGACAACAGAAACAATAAGAAATTAAGTGACTAGATTCACCATAAAATTTGAAATTGTGCTCCCCCCCACTCTTGTCTATACCTCTATCCATTGTCTTGGACATGACAAAGTCACATCAGTAATAAAATCTTCTGTTTCTTTTCAGCAGTGAAACCACCAATGACAAGCACCTGTGGAGGTGTGAAGCCCTGGGAGTTTATTGCCATGTTCCCTAACAAGAACTTTGCCTTTCTAATCTGCAATATTCAGCCAATTATGGCATCAATGGAAGATGTTGCAAACAGTTATGTAACAACAAGCAGTGAAACAACAGTGTAATTAAACAATTTAATGAATTTAGATCAAACATTTGAATTTTGAATTATATTTTGAAAGCACCGGCTGCAAGTGCTGATTTGAGTTTGATTAATGTGTTCCTATGAAATAATGAACAATTGCATCCATAAACTTTCCTCTGTCTATGAACTGAGGAGATGGTCTTCATCCCATCTCCACTTATACCTGAGGGAATTTAAATTTGTCTTTAAATAACCTGGTGTTTTCCCTATTAAACAGTCAACGAGTCATTGCTTTCTTTCTTTCTTTCTTTTTTTGATTTGATTTATATGCCGCCCTTCTCTGGAGACTTAGGGCGGCTTACAATGCGTTAAGCAATAGCCTTCATACTTTTGTATATATTTATACAAAGTCAGCTTATTGCCTCCACAATCTGGCCACCTTCACAACCATTCAGCTATGTACCTCTTGCCCAGAGTACCTCTCTCCTCCATTTCTTGGGTACTACTTTGAAGAGCTCTTCGCTTCAGGTTGTGGGAGAGTCTTGACCTTTCAAACTAGACTTTCCCCTATATCTGTCATGTCTTCAAGCCAATCTTCTGTTAAGAGAACCAGATTAGCCTGAAGAGCAGTGGATCTGCAGTGGTGTGGTGCCTGCAGTGGTGTGGTGCAGTGGTGTGGTGCTGAAACAGGAGGGACACAGCTTCTGTTCTCTCTCTGTGTGCGTGCTTCAGTGGAGCAACTCTCCTAATAGTCAGCATTTTTCTTTCTGACTGGTGTGGTGAGACAATTCCCTCCCCTTTCCCCCACCAATAGGAAGAATATCAGAGAACCATCAGCCAAATATATTACGTATGATACAAGTAGAAGTTCCTCTGATTTCAATTATTTGTTACAGACATGGAGTTTTGTTACTGGATTCTAAGTTCCTTAGTTTGCTTGGCAAAGTCCCATCAGTTTGTATCATATGTTTATTACTTTAAGTATTTCAAACTCCACTCAACCTTCTGAGTTGTAAGAATCTGCAAACTATGGACATCTAGGATCTGATTTAAATGACTTTAAAGGGTGATTCATCCGCTAAAATATAATGAATATTTGTGTCTCTTCTTGTACTATTATTCATGTATATGAGATGGCTCACAAAATATTTTGAGAGGCTGCAAGATAATATATTCAGTATGTAAGCATTTTAAGGAGAGGGGCAAGAGAAGGAAAGTGACAAAGTATTGTTTGAAATGTTGTTGTACAAGGATGAAGGTTGCCTCCTGAATTTATGACAGAAGTTTAAATTTGAATAATACCAAAAAGAAATAAAAATGTTAAAAATATAACATTATATAAAAATATAAACAGTCGAAAAGCTAATGAAGACCTTTGATAGACCTCTTAGGAGGTTATTGACTGTCAAACTACATACAATATAAATAGAAACTGGCATATTGGAATCTTAGCAATTACTAAAACCTCATTTCTTGTGGCTTTGCTCATCTCATGATACTAATAATTATTTTCTGGATTGAAATTAAAAAGCTTTTCCCCAAAAATAAATTAGAACTGCACATTTTAGAATTCCTGCAAAGGGAGGGATGTTTCTCATTTTTTTCTAGTATCTACATAAGACATACATATTTAAATATATACTGCCTAATGATTGTACATTAGGAAAGATTTCTGAGGGAAAAGTAGATGATGATACTGTTGACTGAAGAGATTGTCTCCAGGAGGGTGGGAAACTGCAGAGTGAAGTTTAGACTAATAATAATAATAATAATAATAATTTTATTTCTATACCGCCCTTCTCCCGAAGGACTCAGGGCGGTGTACAGCCTATTTAAAAACACAGAAACAAAACAACAGTTAAAATTTAAAATCATTAAATAATTAGGCTCCAATTAAAATCCCAGAAATTTAAAATACCCCAATTTAAAACGTTATGTTAATAGCCCGGCCTGGCGGAACAACAGGGTCTTCAGAGCGCAGCAAAACACTCGGAGAATGAGTAGGCACTGTTCTTGGGGAGCACCAGTGATCCCCCTCTTTCTGAATCTTTCTAAAAATGCAATCTTTCACATTGGTGAGACATGGCACCAGTTGAAGTTGGTGTGGCCTAGTGGCACCATGTACCTCTGAGTCAGCGCTGGGAGACTTCAATAGGGATTGTGTGAGAAGGGCAAAACGACCTTCACTGGGGCCAACTCACTATTCCCATGCATTAAGACATTCCCATAATTGAAACAAAATGGGCATGTTCCATGGATTCTGCTCACAGAAAGCCAGAAGTATTTCATGGAACCAACCAGCAAGTCTTAGAGCTTTCTTGAAACCTTCCTTCCAATAATTTTTGAGAAAAGAAAATATATAATAAAATCAGACAATTACTACTGGCACCCATCAGGTTGGCTATTTCAAGCAATTCCAGGTTGAGCTTGGTGACTCCAGCTCTATCTTAGCATGTGAAAACAGGTAATGATTAATGGTTCATTTTTAGCACACATTAGATATACTGGTAGATATATGCATATTGGATTAGAGAGCAATTATACAGGTTATTTTGAACTTTATTGAGTATATTTTTGATACGGCACATTGGAAGGGTTTTTAAAATATGAAACCCTTTTTATAAAAGTTTTTGTAAGATTGAACCAAAGTTGGAGAAATGAAGCATTTGGTGCAGACATATACATGAGTTTCACTAGTTGTTGCCTTTTTTTCCTTTCAGTTTGCACTGAAAAAATATTTTAATTTTTTTCACATGCATCTATGCTCTTTAGTCTGATTAGCAGTCTGAACATGACTGAAATACTTTATTAGCCCGTGGCAAATACCAAGCCCATAGATTACAAAATCATTATTGATAACATCCATCTGACAAATGAAACAGCTTTAAATACTTAGGAAGCATCACCTTGAGTGAAGGGTCTTTGGACAAAGACATTTGACTTCAGAATCAGCAATATCAACCAAGCATTGGGATGGCTACATGCTAGAGCAGTGATGGCAAAACTTTTTGGCATCGAGTGCCCAAACTGGAACATGCATGCATGTGTGTGCATGTGTGTGCGCTGGAGCACTGGAAACCCGAAGACCAGCTGACTGGCATGCACATACATGTTTTTTGGGCATTTTGGCCAATTTTCAGGCCATTTTCAGGTCATTTTTGGCCCAGAAAACTCTTCAGAAAACTCTCCAAAAAATGGCTGGAAAATGGCCCAGAAAACAGCCTGAAAACGGCCTGAAAATGGCCTGAAAAAACAGCCTGGTGTTTGGCTGTTTTCCAGGCTGTTTTCCTGAGCTCTGGTGTCCACGAATACCAGCTGACCGGCACACATATACGAGCTGGAAACCACAAGAGCAGCTGGCGATGGCATGTATGCCCACAGAGAGAGCTCTGCGTAGGTTCGCCATCATGACATTAGAATTTCAATCAACACATCATCCATGTTTTCACAAAGCTAAAAGTTTACAGAGCTCTGTTTACCCCTTCCCTCCACGGTGGATGTGCAACAACAAAATTCACATGTGCAGTCTTCATTCCATCCTTGGTATTTGTTGGCCAGACAGTGTCTCCAACCTGGAGGTCTTGGATCATGCAAAGTCCACCAACAATGACTTCCTAATTATCAGAGGCCAGATAAGATGGAGACATGTCAGCAGAATGGATGACTGCCATATGCCTCTCAGGTTGCTTTATACTGCATTTGAGTCTGGGAAGAGACTTCACGATTGATCATGCAAGTGCTATGAAAACACTGTGATAGAAACTTTATGCCACTATAGCATTCAGCCTAAGGAACTAGAAGCTGTAGCTGCTGACAGAACCCACTGGTGAGCCTTGTGCTATGAAGCCTCCACTTGTTTTAAAGAAATGTGTTGCGGAAAACTGATAGAAAATCATAAACAGCATCACAGAATAATGCCTACATATATTACAACAATGGAATTCTGGTGCCCCGATTATGCTGGACTGCTGGACCAGACTGGGACTGCAGAGCCACATGCACAACAGAGTGTCTTCTTTGAACATAAAAAAACTATCATATAGAGTTGCCTTAAACCCACAGTGTCTCTGAGTCCCTCATGTCTTATAACTGTCTAAGCAACTACAGACACTTGCATTAAAACAAGTATTTGTATTCAATGGGAATGATTTATGAGTAGACACTGTACGATTGTAGTGGATAGTTGTTGCACTCTAAGCTTCCTTGTAAAGAAAAATGTTAATCTTCCTGAAGGCAAGAAGGAAGTTCATCTTTATTAAGGTACTTTAAATAAAGTACCTTCAAATTTTTCCTATTTTTTTTTAAAAATCTAGTGATAAAATATTTTGAATATTTTCAACATTTAGGTAAAGGTAAAGGTTGCCCTTGCACATATGTGCTAGTCGTTTCCAACTCTAGGAGGTGGTGCTCATCTCCATTTCAAAGCCGAAGAGCCAGCACTGTCTGAAGACATCTCCGTGGTCATGTGACCAGCATGACTAAATGCCAAAGACACACGGAACGCTGTTACCTTCCCACCAAAGATGGTCCCTATTTTTCTACTTGCATTTTTTACATGCTTTCGAACTACTAGGTTGGCAGAAGCTGGGACAAGTAACAGGAGCTCACCCTGTTACGTGGCACTAAGGATTCGAACCGCTGAACTGCCGAACTTTCGATCGACAAGCTCCGCGTCTTAGCCACTGAGCCACCGTGTCCCTTTCAACATTTAGGAGTCTATTAATAATTTAAAATCATATTTTCCCAAGAACTTTGTTCACCGTAGTATTAATGTCAAACTAATAAAGAACTAACAATAGATGTGTCCATTGCGCAAACAGTGAAGTTCCTTGGCATTTACTATATCTCTAGCATAGGGGTGTCAAACTCAAGTCGTCATGGTGGGGTCACGTGACATATAAGGACTTTTTCTTCCTTCGCTAAACTGGACATGGGCGTAGCCAGCACGTGATGTATCCGGCCTGCAGGCCGGGAGTTTGACAGCCCTGCTCTAACATATAGAAAGGGACTACCAACCAGCATTCAGAAGTATCTTTCCTAACAATATGAGCAGATAGACTTTAGAATCAAATGCTGAGGGAGGTCGGGCAAAAATTCATTTAAGAAGAACATTTCTCTCTAGGTTCTAAAAAATATATACGGTATATCTTAATGGCTAATGTGCAGCATTTTTGT